TGACCTCGCATTGTCGGCCCATGTTCATCTTGGAGTCAATAATGACTCCAAGATCTCTTTCTGCCTCCGTGCTCTCAAGTAGGGAGTTCCCCATTGTGTAAGTGTGCTGCTGGTTCCTACTGCCCAAGTGCAGCACCCTGCACTTGTCCGTATTGAAACACATCCTGTTCCTGTTAGCCCACCCCTGTAACCTATCCAGATCCTTCTGCAATCTCTCACTCTCACTCAAAAGACAGCATCACATCAGTGAGATGTCAAAGGTTGAAATATCACTTTGAACTTCTCCATGAAAATATTAATAAGCTTTATAATAATTTGCAGTAAACAGAACTAGGCTAGGCTCTGGGGTGGGTAGCAGGGGCCTGCCCAGAGCCTGGGCTGCTTGTGGAAGGCAGCACTGAGGTTGCAAGCGGCTGTACCGGACAGTCCACAGAGCCTAGCCATTGGTACTAGTCCTACAACCCCACTCCCATCATCCTCGCTCCTCCTCCCTACCATCTGCCCTGCCTTCCTGGTTCCTGCTGGTATACCACACGGCTTCTCTTCCCTGCTAGATGGTGTCCTGTCCCAAGCTAAATAATAACTGGTAAGCTATAACTGGTTATCAGTACACTTATTGATTAAACAATTAATCGTTTAACTGTTCACATGCCTGCTTGATAACTTTCCTCTGAGTAAAGGAAAGACTCTTTTAAAAACAGAACAGCGTACATCCTTTATACAGAAAAAGGTATAACTGGGCAGTTTTGCTTCTTCAGCGGCAGCAAGGTGTGTAATGGCAGCTGCAGCTGGACTACCAGCAGAATGACAAACAGGTCAGCAGCACGGTGGCTGCTAATCTAGCATCTGGGACTGGTGCCGTGGTTGTCCCCATTTAGTTGTGCTACTGCAGTGATTCCCAAACGATGTGCAGCATGTGAAGGAAGTGTGTCATGAGATCCCCCTTCCTGAGGAGGTAAATACTCTACTCCCCCATCTCACACCCTGCACTGGACCCTGCTATTTCAGCGGTGCATGCTACTCCTCCGCAGGCTTTTTGGTGCTGCTGCCCCTGCCTTCCCTTGACCCAAGCAGACCCTACACCAGCCCCACCCCATGCTCTGCTCTAGGCACTGATTTCCTCTGGCAGGGAAATGAAATATGTTATATATGTTTGATACACACACACCCTTTCTAAGTGTAAGACTGAAATGTGCTGCTAATTTTAATCCAGAAAATAAACATGCCCTCAGTATGAAAAGTTTGGGAACCACTGTGGTATTGTACACAGATGCCAGATAATTGCATAATTTGCTTAATGGACACATCAGTCCACATATATTGCAATTTACATATATATACCGTAACAAAACTTTGGTCCTCTGCATATTAGTTTCAGGCCTACTGTTTAGCTTGCAATTTAATTGTATTGGGTTACCTTCATCCTAATTGTAACAGCCAGCCACACAGCAACTGATTAGAAAATATATTACAGAAGAGACACTGAAGGGAAGGCAGCTGCCAAAGGGCTATCAGACGCCTCAAAAATCATGGGAGCTAGTCATCTGCAGGGTTGCTATCTTCCCTGATTTTCAAGGCTGTCAGCATCAGCTCTTGTGTTTCAAGGTATTTAATAGCAACCTCAAACCTGACCATTAGAACCTATGAAAATGATGGAAGTTAGTTTGGGGACTGTTAATACCACACCACCGATAGAGCTGTAATCTCTACTCAGTGGGCACGTCTACATGTGCCGCTATGGTGCTGTTGTTACTGCACCATCATTTAGTACTTGGAAGTACTAAAAGACAGCGCAGTAACAGCCAGTAAGGCACTGTGCACACAACTATTTTTAGGTGCTACAGGCAGTCCTCGACTTACATTTCAAGTTACAACATTTCATACTTATAACATTCATAAATTGACAACCTGTTTCAACTTTCTGACATCAGTTTCGACTTTACAACGCTTGATCTGACACCACGCCACACCAACGAACAAGTTCGCTGCATCACCCATCTCCCTGGAGAACATCTGTCCAAACTTCCTTGGACACTTTCTTTAAGAAAGCAGACAAGACTCGAGAAAAACTTGCAGCCAAGACTCCTGAGAAGACTCCAGCCAAAAACCCTTCAAGAAGTCCAACCAAGAGCCTTTCAAAAGGTTCAGCAAAGTCACCTCAAAGAAGTCCTTCCAAATCAATATGATTGCTATTTACATTATTGTAGCTATATTACTCATCTATAATTGACTAATTACAAAATTCTGGGTTATTTTTGGTGAAAATAAGGTATTGGGCCTTGGTTCAGGAACCAATCCCTCATTTATAGTATTTTTTCCTACAGGAAAATCAGTTCCAAGTTACAATGTTTCAACTTACGACACAATTGGTTCCTGAAAACCGTGTCTTAAGTCTAAGGACTGCCTGTATGTTGCTTTAGCGACGCACTACAACACGGATGTGCTTCCCCGTTATAGTGCGTCACTACAGCAACGTAGCTGTGGTATCATGGGTTTTGCCCTTGGATATTACAGCGATGTAGCATTACATGTACATGTGCACAATAAGTACAGTTTTCCTTTGATTTATGCTGTACATGCATTCCCAGAGAATGGCACATAAATCAAATTCGCATAAAGCGAACCCACTTTGCAAAGTAATAAATAGGGATAAGTTCCCATGGTGGTAAGGGAAGGAGTGAGGCTGGGACTAGAGAAGGGGCGGGGGAAGGGTGCCACTCCCAGGGCTACACAAGGCAGCAAAGCAGAGGGAACAGAGTGGCACTCACCCCAGCCTCAGCTGCAATGGCCCCAGGACCAGCCGAATGCACCGTGTTCTGCTGGGCTGCACTGTGCTCCACCTGCCCCCACTCACCTCTGCTCCTGGGCTGCGCCATGCCCTGGTGCAGGCAGCTGGTGTCAGTTGCTTCTGGTGCCGCTGCAGCTGGGGCTGGGGCTGGGGTGAGTGCTGCACCCCACACCGGCCGGAGCTCTGCTTGTCCACACTCAATGCAGCCCGTGCTGGAGTAGCCGACACCAGCTGCCTGCACCGCGGCACATCACAGCACAGCCCAGGAGCTGGGGTGAGCCCAGGCGCAGGGGGACAGGAGAAGCTTGGTGCAGCTCAGTGGCTGCAAGCAGCTGGCACCAGCCACACCTGGGGAGGTGGGGTGCATCTATGCTAATCGCATAAGAGCAAATTTACTTTGCATATAACAAATTATGGGTCTAAATATGCTCATCGCATAAGAATGAATTCACATATAAAGAACCCACATAAATTGAGGGAAACCTATACACAGCACTATCAGCGTTGCACTGTTAAAGTCCCCAAACTAACTCATTCCCCACATTTTCAGGAAAATCCTAATAGAAAATCTAAACCCAACTGAAAAGGGGAGGGAGTATTTAGTACTGGGGCTGCTAACACCATAGCACTGACAGTGTGCCAGCAACTACTTATATTAAGCGTGGATAAACATACAGGTAAGTACACAGCCTTTATTCAGTCCTGAGGCCACGCACTTAAGCAGAGGACACTTCACTAAGCAGAGGGAAACATGTGGCTGTTCCTGGCAGGCCGATTTCTGACAAGGCCCAAGGCAAGGCAAACCTTTACCCTCAAGCCTCCTGCTCCCTGGAACGGCGCCCATCGAGACAGCCTACCAGAACCGCAGCATGTCGCAGCTGGAAAGTCATCCTCCAACCCCCAAATACCAGTTTCTTTAGGAAGGAAATGTGGGATTCCCACACGCTGGAAACGCAGGCTGCGGGCACTCGACCAAGAAAGTGCCTGTTTGTGCGCAGCTTACCCAGGCACCCGCGGCCAGCGCTGGTGCTGGACAGAAGCCGTGTGTGCCAGGTACAGCGGACCCCAGCGCAGGGATGTGCAGGCAGGTGCTGGGGCACCTCGGGGTGCCTCCAGCTCCTTACAGGGGGGGCTCGCCAGGCCCCTAGGTGGGCAGACAGCACTCAAAGGAGAAGCCACTTCAGGCAGGGGAGACCCTTGCTGCAGCCTTCTTCAGCTCCCTACAGCACCGGCACCAGGCAGCCAGCTCCCGTCTCCAGGGATGAGGAGGAGCTCGTAGCGGGAGCGGCCGGCCCAGGGGCCCCGCGGCCGGAGCCCGGGTGTGTGCGCGCGGGGGGGAGA